CCCGCCACAACGCCTGGCCATTTTTTGGTTGCAGCCATCATTGTTGTTTGGGGGGCCCGGGCTGGGGATTTGAACCCGCCACCTTAGGTGTATGTGGCTGGCACCTTAGCCGCTTGAGCCACAGGCGCCGAGCCCATGGTGACTTTTAAACATTGGCACACTTTAGGAATCAGCTTTGCAGATCCATGAATTCTATTATATTTACTCACAGTAGGCTTGGTCTTGAAAGAATACCACTCCCCAGAACAATTTTTTAGGAGAAAGATAATGAGAAGGGGCTTTTCCCACCACACATACAAATAGATGACAGATTATAAAGTTATAATAATCATCAGTCTCTGAAGAATAAACACTCTTTGAAGAGTTATTACATGTCCTTCCCTGTGCAACAGTGTTGTGTTTAATTTTCACAACACTCTATGGTGGGCACTTTTATACCACCACCCCCACCCCCGCATATGAATGAAGAAATTGAGACAAAGAGGATAAAAGGCAAATAAGTTGCCCAAGGTTGCATGGGTAGTAAGTAGCAGAGCTGTGCTATCACATTCAAAACTCTGCTTTTAACAATGTTATTCTTCTGCACAGCTGCCACAGGAACTGGTAGGCAGGGTCAGCATAACAGCTAACATTTATTGCTGCTTACTGTGTGCCAGGCAGTGGGGTGAATGCCTTCCGGACATAACCTCAGTCCATCTTCATAGCAACCATATGAAATAGATGCTACTATCTCCATTTCACAAGTGAGGAAACTGAGGCATAGCCCAGAGACCTTCCTCAGGAGCCTGCCTTTACGACTACAGTATGGCACCTCCTTTCCTAAATCAATGGAACAGAATAAAAAGTGAATAGGTCATGGTGCTTGCTTCAGCAGCACATATACTAAAATTGGAATGATACAGAGAAGATTAGCATGGCCCCTGCACAAGGATGACACACAAATTTGTGAAGCAGTCCATATTTTTAGAAAAAAAAAAAAAGAATAAAGAATTTGCTGTAAAAAAAAAGTGAATAGGTCACGTGTATGTTTCGATTTAACATATGATAGGGGCAACATCTCAAGTGAGTGAAGAGTGATAGATCGTTTGAAAAGCACTTGCAGGCTCGGCGCCTATAGCTCAACCAGCTAAGGCGCCAGCCACGTACACCTAGGGTGGCAGGTTCGAATCCCCAGCCTGGACCCGCCAAACAATGACGGCGGCAACCAAAAAATAGCCGGGCGT